TGGCTTCTCTATAAGATGGCAGTGCTTAGGCTTCTGTTTTTGAGCCTATCTCACAAACTCATGTCAATGCTGAATTGACTCTAATGTCAATTAATGCTTCATGGTTTGCTGGACTCATTGCATTTGGAACAATTATCTCAAAAGTGAATTTTCCAACGTTCTGCAGGAAGTGACCTGGGACTGAAGAGCTTGCCACACTTACCAAATTTTAAGATTTCTGCCCAGTGTGGATTCTCTGATGTCTAATGAGGTGTGAACGTAAAGGCTTTGCCACAGTCCTAACAGTTGTGAGGTTTCTCTCCTATATGAATTCTCCTGTTTTCCCTAAGATGAAGCTTGACAGAAGACCTTGCCACAATCATAACATTTGTAAGGTTTCTCTCCAGTATAAGTTTGTCAATGAACTGCAACGGATGAACGATGTCTGAAAAATTTGCCACCTTTATTACATTTGAAAGATCTCTCTTCATTATGGATTCTCTAATGATTTGCAATGGTTGTAGCTCTACTGAAGACTTGATGACAATCATCACGTTAGAAGTTTCCCTATACCATGGATTGATTTATGGTGACTAAGTGTTGAATGCCCCCTAAAGGTTTTGCCACACTCATTACACTTGTAAGGTTTCTCTCTAGTATGAATTGCCTTATGGTTTATAAGGGCTGAATCCTGATGGAAGTTCTTGCCACTCTCATCAAACTTTTAAGGTTTCTTTCCAGTATGAAGTCTACGATGGCGTATAAGGGATGATGTCTGACTGAAGGCCTTGCCACACTCATTACACTTGTAAGGTTTCTCTCCACTATGAAGTGTCCTGTGATTTACAAGGGCTCTTTTTTGACCAAACAACCTGCCACACTCATTACACTTGTACGGTGTCTCTCCAGTATGAAGTCTACGATGGCATGTAAGGGATGACACGTAACTGAAGGTTTTCCCACACTCATTACACTTGTAAGGTTTCTCTCCAGTATGAAGTCTACGATGGCGTATAAGGGATGATGTCTGACTGAAGGCCTTGCCACACTCATTACACTTGTAAGGTTTCTCTCCAGTATGAACTGTCTTATGATTTACAAGGGCTGTATTTCGAACAAAAAACTTGCCACACTCATTACACTTGTAAGGTGTCTCTCCAGTATGAAGTCTATGATGGCGTATAAGGGATGATGTCTGACTGAAGGCCTTTCCACACTCATTACACTTGTAAGGTTTCTCTCCAGTATGAACTGTCTTATGATTTACAAGGGCTGTATTTCGACCAAAAAACTTGCCACACTCATTACACTTGTATGGTGTCTCTCCAGTATGAAGCCTAAGATGGCATGTAAGGGATGACATGTAACTGAAGGTCTTCCCACACTCATTACACTTGTAAGGTTTCTCTCCACTATGAACTGTCTTATGATTTACAAGGGCTATATTTTGACCAAAAAACTTACCAAACTCATTACACTTGTAACGTGTCTCTCCAGTATGAAGTCTACGATGGTATGTAAAAGATGATATCTGACTGAAGGTCTTGCCACACTCATTACACTTGTAAGGTTTCTCTCCACATTGAACTGTCTTATGATTTACAAGGGCTGTATATAGACCAAAGGCTTTGCCACACTCATTACACTTGTAAGGTTTCTCTCCACTATGAAGTCTACGATGGTATGTAAGGAATGACTTTTGATTGAAGGTCTTGCCACACTCATTACACTTGTAAGGTTTCTCTCCAGTATGAACTGCCTTATGATTTACAAGTGTTGTATTTCGAACAAAGGACTTGCCACACTCATTACACTTGTAAGGTTTCTCTCCAGTATGAATTGCCTTATGGTTTACAAGGG